TTCATGGCTCTGTGTCATGCTTTGTAATTTTTATGATATTTCACGTTTTTTATTATTATTCTGTCTGTGCTGGTGATCTGTGATCAGTGACCTTCACTGTTAACTACCTTAATTGTTTTGGGCCATCAACAATTGCACCCATGTAAGATGGCGAACAAAATCAATGAGGATTGTGTGTGCTCTGACTTCCCTACCGACGGCCAGTCCATTTCTCTCCCTCTCTTTGGGCCTCCCTGTTCCCTGAGATGCAACAATATTGAAATTAAGCCAATTAATTACCTACAATGGCCTCTAACAGTTCAAGTGAAAGGAAGAGTTTTGATTTCTCACTGCAAATAAAAACTTATTAAGTTTAGAGAGGAAGGCATATCAAAAGCTGAGACAAGCTGAAAGCTAGGCCTCTTGCACCGGTTAGCCAAGTTGCAAATACAAAGGCAAAGTTCTTAAAGGGAAAGTGCTCCTCCAGTGAACACACAATTGATAAGAAAGCAGAACAGCCTTATCGCTGATTGACAGGGAGAAAGTTTGAGTGTCCTGGAGAGAAAATCAAACCAGCCACAACATTCTCTGAAGCCAAAGCCTAATCTGAGTGAGGCTCTAACTCTCTCCAATTCTGTGAAGGCTGAGAGAGATGAGGAAGCTGCAGAAGAAAAGTTCGATGCTGGCAGAGATTGGTTCATGAAGTTTAGGGAAGAAGGCATCTCTGTAAGATAAAAGTGTGAGGTGAATCAGCAAGTGCTGATGGAGAAGCTTCAGCAAGTGACGCAAAAGATCTAGCTAAAATCATTGTTGAGGTGGCTACACTCAACAGCCGATTTTCAATGAAGATGAAACAGTCTTCTCTTAGAAGAAGAGGCCATGTCCAGCTGTCATAGCTTCAGAGGAGAAGTCAATGTCTGGCTTCAAAAACTCAAAAGCCAGGCTGTCTCTTCTATGAGAGGCTAATGCAGCCAGTGACTTCAAGTTGAAGCCTGTGATCATTTGCCAATCTGGAAATCTTCAGGCCCTTTAGCTATGCTAAATGTATTATTCTTGTGCTCTTTAAATGGAACAGCAAAGTCTAGATGACAGCAAATCTGTTCTCAGCATGGCTTACTAAATATTTCAAGCCCACTGTTGAGACCTACTGCTCCAAAAACTATCTATTTTAGAGTATTACTGCTCTTGGTCAATGCACCTAGTCACCCAAGAGCTCTGAGGGAGATGCTCAGTGAGACTAAGGTTGTTTTCATGCTTACTAACACAATATCCATTCTGCAGCCCATGGGTCAAGAGGTCATTTGGACTTCCAAGTCTTACTATTCAAGAAATACATTTCATGAGGCTATAGCTGCCATAGACAGTGATTCCTCTGATGAATCTGGGCAAAGTCAGCTGAAAACCTTCTGGAAAGGATTCACCATTCTAGATGCCACTAGGACATTCATGAGTCCTGGGAGAGGGAAAAGTATCAACAGTGACAGGAGTTTGGAAGAAGCTGATTCCCATCAAGAGGGATGACCGTGAGGGTTCAAGGCTTCAGTGGAGGAAGTCACTGAAGATGTGACGAAATGAGGGAGAGAGGTGGCGTTAGAAGCTGGGCCTGAGGATGAGACTGAATTGCTGTACTCTCATGATAAAACTTGAATGGATCAGGAGTTATTTCTTGTGGATGAGCAAAGAAAATGATTTCTTCAGATGAAATGCACTCCCAGTGAAGATGTTGTGAAATGCTTCACTCCTAGGGAAGATGTTGAGATGGCAACAAATAATTTAGAATATTACATAAGCTTAGTTGAAAAAGCAGCAGCAGCGTTTCAGAGAATAGACACCAATTGTGAAACAGGTTCTTGTGTGGGTAAACTGCTATCAAAAAGCACGACATGCTACAGAGAAACGTTTTATAAAAGAGTCAACAGATGCAGCAAACTTCATTGTGGTCTTACTTTAAGAACATGCCACAGACACTCCAACCTTCAGCAACCACCACCCTGATCAGTAAGCAGCTGTCAGCATTGAGGCAAGACTCTCCACCAGCAAAATAGGACGACTCATTGAAGCCTCAGATGACCATTAGTAGTTTTGAGCAATGAAATGTTTTAGAATTAAGATATACACCATTGTTCTCCTAGACATAATGCTACTGCACCCTTAATAGACTATAGTGGAATGTAAGCGTCCTTTTTATATGCACTGGGAAAGCATAAATCCACGCAACTGACTTTATTGCAGAGGTGTGGAACCAAGCCTGCGGTATCTCCAAGGTGTGCCTGTGTTAGTTCCCTGGGCCTGCTGCAATGAAGTATCACAAACAACACATGTATTGTCCCGCGGCTCTGGAGTCCAGCAGTTTTAAGCGCAGCGGGTGGCAGGGCTGCACGTCCTCGGAATGCTCTGGCAGAAGCCCCTTCCCCGTCTCCCACAGTTCTGGTGTTTCTGGCAGCCCTTGGTGACCTTGGCTCGTGTTTGCATCACCGCGTTCTCTGCTCCTTCATCAAGCGGTGCTTGTCCTGTGTCTCCGTCTTCATACTCTCTATTCTTATTAGAACACTAGCCATTAGATTTGGAGGTTGCCCTATGTCAGTTCGACGATGTCTACACTTGGTTTCATCCACAAACACTGTGGTATTTCCAGTAAGCTCATTCACAGGTTCAGGGTGGAGGTGAACTTGCGGGGGGGCATGATTCCACCTGCTGCGTGTCTGTCCCTCGTCCTCCCGCGCTCACACGCGATGATGCTTCCCTCAGCATCGCTGGCTTTCCCGCCGAGGCCTCTGACTGCTTTTTGTTTCATCCTCACATCTCCCTTCCTGCTCACCCCCAGGGGGCCCAGGGAATATGCTGACCAGGCGCTGTCCCCTGTACTCCCCCTCTAGCCCCCTGCACAGTGGGGCTGCAAAGTCCCGCCTCACCCTGCCAGGCACCTCTCTGTGACTTCCACCGCCTATGAAGCCCTTTCCATGCATCTGGGCCTGGGTGCTGCTCCAGGAACCTGCTGTTCTCTGCACCATGAACACCTACCCACTCTCTCTGCCTGACATACTTTCTCAACCGGGGACGCCCCATTCATGGGCCATGTTCCAGTCGGTTTACCTTCTGTCTCCTCTAAACAGACTTCCCTGATTATGGGCTGCCAGATTCTACAGAAGGAGGCCCGTCTTCTCTGCACTCACCCATCGGCACATGGAGGGTCATTACCACATTCCTTCTTCCTCCCCAGTGAGTGTCACGGTCTTCACCGCATGCTCCCGAAGTGCTGAGCAGCAGAGCTGCGTGTCTTCACCTTTAATCAGGAAACACGCGTTCCGTGGACTGAGGAAGAGGGGAGGCTGTGGCACGCGGATGCCACCCTCCACATTCCGGCCCCAGGAAAAACTGACCTGGAGGCAGAAAAACTCAAACCGATGAATGGATAATTATCCACTGAAAATTCTTTAAGGGGAACTGAGTTATACTTTTCTTGAATTTGAGATAACATTAACCTATTTAAACTACTTTTTAATTCAAATGATGACTTTGTCCCCAATAGCTTAAAAAAGCAAAATAACGTACCTTAAACATGACACATACACTCTTGGAGTCTAGTCTCTTGTCTGTGCGTGTGTCAGAAACTGATATTTATCAAGTGATAAACAAACAAGTGCCATTAGGAAAAACAGAGGTTTTCGCAAATGAAAGCTCCTTCCCTCTCCCACACCTGCTCACATATCCTCCCTGAAGACAGAGGTAAGAAAGCGAGGCTTGATCTTCATGATGCCTGCCGACCTCTGCGGTGCTGGACCTCTGTGGGGGAACGCCAGGAGGCTTAAGAGATGCTCCCCTGCCACAGAGACAGTGAAAGCTGTGTCCATAGAAATTCTCTTTAATGTTCTCTAAGACTTGACAGGTCCATGGCCAGGCTGACAACTCCACACACACGTGAAGGAACCCAACAGGCAGGTGCCGACAGGAAGCAGGTGCAGGTGGCTCTGGGCAAAGCAGCACCTCCCCAGTCACCATTCACCCCACCTGGAACAAGTAGAACCTCCCCCATCCAAGGTCCACCCTAACCTGGGAGAAGCAGCAGCTCACCTGTCTGCCATTAACCCTGACCTGGGAGAAAGAGCCCCTCCACCATCCACCTTTCACACTGTCCCGGAAGAAACAGCCCCTCTACCATCCACCTTTCACACTGTCCTGGGAGAAGTGGCACCTCCCCCATCCACTGTCCAGCCCAAATTGGGAGAAGCAGACCCTCCCCCACTTACCATCTACCCCAACCTAGGAGAAGCAGCAGCTCCCTTTCCACCATGTACCCTGACTTGGGAGAAGCAGACCCTCCCCCATGTACCATCAACCTCCGCCTTGGAACAGCAGCTCCCCTTTCCACCATCCACCCTGACCTGGGAGGAGCAGCCCCTCCCCATGCATGGCTCACCCTGACCTCTGAGAAGCGGCCCCTCCCACCCCCATGCAGAGTGCACCCTGATTGGCAGGTGTGGGAGGGGCGGGGGTTCGCTGCTGCCACTGCTTCTGGTTCTCTGAGTCCTTGCTCTGTGCGGCTGCACATCAGGCTGTTGCTGCGATGGGACCATGTGAAAGTGTGCACCGAGGGGACTTGGTCGGGTATTGCATGTCACTGGGAGACGTCCTTGTAGGGGATCCTCACTGAGCAGATGAAGCAGAATTTGGGTTAAAATGAATTTTCCCAAAGCTGCAGTACAGTTTTTCAGTCCTCTAACTGCCTGAGATAAATGTTGGCAACTTCCTTTGACATTACATTTCACTTTTGTCACATAATAAACTTGGTTATTGACCATAATAACTTTATTAATATATAGACTAATTATTGATACTCACCGATGTATTTTATGTGTTATTAAGAGTCAGTCATTTGGTTTAGAAAGACCAATATCACATTGAATAATTCGAAACATATTTAAGGCATAGAACTTGCATTTTTTTCTCTTAAGCAAAATGAGGAGTTCTAGCCAATCTTGCTAGTGTTATTTATAGCATCTTATTTCCTGAGAGAAGACAGGAAAAGTGAGTCCCTGCCTTCCCTCTCTCTGTCTGGCTCCTCCCAGGCCTGTCTGGCAGGGGCCGGGGTGCAGGAGGAGGAGGCGGCCTCCAGTACAGAGGGGCTGGACTTGGACCCCTGCAGCAGGTACTCGGAGCAAATGGTGAGATCAGAAGGGGGATGATGTCATTCCTTCGAAGGAATGAATTAAACGTGCTTCCTCGTGTGTCTGATTGACAGCACCGCACAGGAGAAGCGGCATATAAAGCCGCACTGCCCGGGAGCCGCTCGGCCACGTCCACCGGAGCGTCCTGCACGGCGGGGCCGGTCTCTCGCTCCGGCAGAGCCTGAGCCTTTCGGACCCAGTCCGGAACACTGAAATCAGTCATCCCTGCATCTTTTTAGCAAACCAGGTACGATTATTTCTTAAACTCAGTTATTTCATCGTGCTCCAATTTTAAGAAATTAGAGCTCTTGAACTGTAAGAAGGGGAGAAGAAGAAAGAGCTATCGAGATTCTTAAGGTGGGTGGTGCGTCTATGAACACTGAACGGCAAGCCTTTCTTCGCGTGGAGTTTTTACTGCCCGCTGGAAGAGCAAGGCACGTGGCCGCCGCTCAGCTTTTCCTCCGCGGCGCCTTTCGCCGGCTGGCCCGGCACCCCTTCCTCTCTGAGGGTTGTGGTTGCTGCTAGTGTAATGCATGTACCTGCCTGGGAACCCGGTAAAGGCTTTTTGTTTTCAACTTCAGAATAAGAAGATGCCACATGAGAGTTTGTTATTGAGGAGGGAATTAGAAACCACTCCCGGAGTATCTGAAAAGTAACCGAGATTAGAGAGAGACTCTGATTGTTAACTTTATTAGTGGATTAGAGAGAGACTCTGATTGTTAACTTTATTAGTAGATTAGAGAGAGACTCTGATTGTTAACTTTATTAGTGGATTAGAGAGAGACTCTGATTGTTAACTTTATTAGTGGATTAGAGAGAGACTCTGATCTCTGATTAACATTATTAGTAGATTAGAGAGAGACTCTGATTGTTAACTTTATTAGTAGATTAGAGAGAGACTCTGATTGTGATTAACATTATTAGTAGATTAGAGAGAGACTCTGATTGTTAACTTTATTATAGATTAGAGAGAGACTCTGATTGTTAACATTATTAGTAGATTAGAGAGAGACTCTGTTAACATTATTAGTAGATTAGAGAGAGACTCTGATCTCTGATTAACACTATTAGTGGATTAGAGAGAGACTGATTGTTAACATCATTATTAGTAGATGACAGAGAGACTGATTGTTTCCATTATTCGTAGCTGAAAAGTGTTTTGAACCTAACTAGAGAATATTTGTGGTAAGTCTATGCAAAGTCCTGTGACTGCCGGGACACACAGCGACTTTTCAGTTTTGCGGCAGTTTGCATATGAAAAGCCAGCTGGCGGGTTGCCTGGCTACCACTTAAGGAAGGTGGGATTGGCCGCCCGGGGCTGGGGGCTGAGCACCCAGGAGTCTGCTGTTTCATCAGACTGCTCTTGGTGGGGGATGGCCGGCAAACAATGAGCTCTCTGCAAAGTTATCTTTTACTTTGATTGTTCAGCTGAAAAGAGTTTTCAAAGACCTTTGCAAATTCAAACTGTGTTCGCTGCAGAGAGGCACTGACTCTTTCTTTTGGAAAGACACAAGCATAAACGTGGGTGCGTGGCGTGCAGAGGCTGGGGCAGGGGTGAGCGGCACTGGCTCGTCCGTGGTCCACCCCTGCCCGGTGTCCCTGGATGGGCTGAGGCCAGGCAGCCCGGCTGCTCACCCTTCCTGCGGCTTGAGCCTCACTGTCCTTTGACAATCCTCAGCGGCGGATGCTTCGTTGGACTCCTGCTCCTGTAACAATCCGCCTCAAGCCAGACACAGTAGGATGTGGTTTTGTCAAAGGAGTTTGCTTGACTTTTTCCAACCTGTCCTTATGAAGCTGGGCATCCAGAACTTTCGCGTTTGCCATCCTGTTCTTGGCTGGCCTCTGCAGGGCCGGCCCCACAGAGCTGTCCTTAGGGGACTTCGATGTGTCCGGCAGTGCGGGCTGATGAGGTGGAGAGGTGGGAAGAGCCTGCCAAGGCTGTACCTGAGCTGCGTATTCTCACACCTCTCCGTGGTGCTTACTGTGTGCAGGCATTGTTCTAAGCTCACGGTCAAGTGTTCACTCCTGTCATTAAACCCTCTTAAGAGCTCCATAGAAAGGTCCTGTCAGCACCACCATTATTACTGCGGCTGCCTCGGGCATTTAGAGTAGAAAGTGCCCCAGACCCAGAGGCACATTCTGCTCCTGTAACCCATGCCTGTGGCTGGCTTGGCTAAGTCAGCCCCTGGTGAAGATTCGTTTGCTGAATTCATCTCTCATAACAACCCGATGAGGTGGGCGTTTTATATGAGGCTATGTTTCTACAGATGAGGAAACTGAGACAGAGAGGTTAAGTAAGTTTT